AGGTTGATGACAAGCACCTCCTGAAGAGGACGGCGTGTTGACAGTTGCATCGGCAGTGGTCATGGCATTCGGTGGATTGGCATGTGCACGTTGGGCCAGGTTCCAGACCCTTCTCGACAAATCGCAGCTGTGTCTGCAAGCAGTCGGGCCCAGCCATGGCCATGTGAGTTCATCAGAGCGCCTTACTCGCAAAGCTGTGGCAGCTGTCGACACTCTGAAAAGCTGCAGGCACAAAAGCACCTGCAACTTCACGCGGGACAGAAACTGGGCCAGTGGCTTCTCAGCTGCAATCCTGCGAGCGTTTGCGTGGTCAGCTGGCAGATGCCGCCTTTACACCCAAATCGTGTGAAGCATAAACTGTAAGATTGTAAGACTGCAAGACTGTAAGACTGTAAGACTGTAAGACAAAGACTCAAAGCATCGAATGCACTAAGATTTTAAGAAGGAAACCAAACTTCCGGGTGCCCCTCTCTTAGAGCCTCCATAGACTCTGCCTTCGTAAATGCCTCGACATATTTTCCTCTCTGCCGCGGAGTCGCGGAGAGTTCGCCACAACTGAAAATTGGAGTCTTTGCCCAAGCCTTATAGCAGATCCTGGCAGCGGCTTTGGGAAGGCGGAGGGGTGTGAAAAACTAAGAATCAAAGAGCTTTGTGTATGTCACGTGAAGGGGAACGAATATGGAAACTAATATGGGAGAGAGGCCTCCTTTGTGTCCTGATGCCCCAACGACTCAGATGACTCAATCAAAGACTCAAGCACAATGACTCAATCACATGACTCAATCTCCATGACTCAAAACGACCATCTTGCCTGATGCGGTCCTGTCGCACGCAGTTCCTTGCCGCTAGCACGGCAGTGTAGATGTGACACAAGGCGTCTTTGAGAACTTCACGCCTGTGCCGACTGGGTATGAGCTGGCCTCTCGACAGGAATTCGGCAACCGGGGACATTGCGTCATTGAATCGTTGCGCGCAGGTAGGCGCCGTTCGCAATGAAAATGCTGCGTTGTGGCGGATCTACCAGGCCGCTTGCTGCTCCACTCTGTTGAGCGCAACCGGTTGCATCCCTTAAACCTCAACACACCCAGTTGGTTCATCTTTCTCTCTTGCCCTGCAGGTGTCAAAAGAGGTTACGCGGTTGGACTGCGCCAAGCCTCTGAAGGAGTCCCGGGCTGAAGCTAAGCAATCCTAGGCGCCTCGCCTCATGAAGCAGTGGCGTGAGATCTGTCGACTGCATCCTGTCGCCTCAAGTCGAACATCCTTCAACTTGCCCATGACATTGATGTGTGCATGTCCTGCCTTGAGACAGCTGGCTGATTCATGCTGAGCCTCAGCCACGAAGAATACCCTGCAAGGAGGCTCCATTCAAGAAGTGGACGCCTTTGACCATGGAGGCTAGCGGCTAGCTACTTCTAGCTACTTGTGACCCCGACAGGTCTGCTCGCTGAAGCTTCTTTTTTTCTTGTCGTGCGCGGACACCATTCGCGGCAGTCACCTAAAGATGTTAGCACTGATGCTTGGCAGGCTGGTAAAGGCCTTGACTGGAGTGACCTCGACATCTGCGAAGATGCGAACGAGTGGCCTTGAGCTTGGTGACTGAGTTTGGGGCGTGCGCGGATCAGCTTTCATCTTTCAATTCTGCCGAGGATTCTCTTCCATGCCTCCCTTCCAGAGGCTGTTGGCTTGTATTGCAAGAAGGATCAGAGACGTGCGTGCGTGTCTGGGCGGGTGTGCACGTGTCTTTGTGAGCTTGAGCCTGTGTGCGTCCGTGTGCGCGTGCGTGCGCGGGTCGGCGGGCGGGCATACCGGCGGGTGTGTGGGTGCGCGTGCGTGTATCCAGTTCGTATTAAGAATTCTCTTCAGCAGGGATACAGAGGAGACTTGCTCTCCGACATGGCCAACTGAATTGAACGTACCTGCCGCTCTGCACCTGAAACTCATATTATGCTTGCTTGTCACCGTCAACAGAGTAGAGTAAAATCGAGCCAGCCTTGCGCAGCATCATCATCATCATTATCATCATCATCATCAGCATCATCACGCTTTCCTGATTTTCCATCAGGTGCTGGGGACACGGTCCCTAGCCATATAAGCAAGGTATCGGCGCAGGATGCATTCAAACGGGTGTGTGTGTGTGTGTGCGCGCGCCCCGCCTCTCTTGCGAGGCTCTCTCCGCCATTTGCCGCATCTTGGCCTCATTCAATCGGCTGCTTTGCCATCGATCACATTGTTTCACGTGTGCCATGGCCACTCCAATCGTGGCCTCGGTTCCCCGGGTTGCCACGAAAGGGATTGCATGTGTGTTTGTGAGTGAGTGAGAACATACTACCCTTCACAGATTACCCGTCACACATTACCCGCAGCTGCCGTTGCTGCCGTAGCTGTAAAAGAGTGTCCGTCCGCCTGTGTAAGGCACCGGCTTCACCATGGCCAAACTTGGCTCCGGCGGTACCACAGGCGGTGGCGGCTTGTACGGTGATGGCAACTTGGTTGCATTGCAGGAGCAATTTAACGCAGCCGCACAGTCTTGTGCTGTCTGTCGGTTGTTGCGGCGACTGACAAATGCCGGAGAGGCACCTACTTTGCCGATTCCATCACTAAAGCTGATGAGTATGCTCGGCGAAAGGCACGTCGCTTGTGAGTTCCTGTGAAGCACACTTGCCGTTGTCGCACCCGCTCCTTTAGCCCCACTTCCCGGGCACATTATCGTTGAGCAGGTGGAGAAGGGTGACTTCGCCGGATGTCGAGCTGCGGCGATCTGCCGGGTACGTAGGGATCGGATATTTTCGTCCACAAGAAAGGAAGGATGGTAAGTTCGCAGAGTGGTAGGCTTCGGGCTGGGCCGGCAGGCAGGGAGAGGTTACTGCTTTAGGGCAAGATATAGATGTTGGACAGGGTGAAGGCGGGTCCGAGTTAAGTGGCAAGGGCAGTTGCCAGACCAGAGGGTGTATGACACCGTCAGGTACTTGGGGGCCGGCACTTCTACATGGACAAGGCCCGCCTGGTCCCACCTCTTGGGTTTTGGTTTTGCGTTTGATTTCTGCAGCCTTGTCTCTGTATGGACCTCTTCGAGGATGTCATGGAGAAGGACAAGCCGAAGTTTGCAAAGAGAGCTCTGATCCTGGGGGGGGGGGGGAAGTGCAGTGTGGCTCCTGTCTTGACAAGCTGATGTGAGCTGTCTCGCACATCAGCCAGCTCACAAAAGGTGCTGGAAGGACACTACAACAGCACCGTGGGAGACCGCTTGAAGGCGGAAAAATCAGAAAGTGAAGGTGTGGGTACCGCGCCTGCACGAGAGAGAGTTCTTGCATCGGTCAGGTGAAGAACACCTTCAGGCCCGGCCGATGTTGCCCGACTTGCATAGAATCATAGATTATGCCGGCTGAAGACGTGTGTTGCTGTTCGCAGCCAGCAAGCTGCACCGATTCCGTGTTGCAGGGAGTACGTGGCCTACGATGCTGCAGCGACGTACATGGAGCCTTGAGCGATTCTGAGGGTCACGGTGTAGGGTTGCCTAAGTTAACCGGAACATCCGAATTGTGGAGAGATTGGTGCTGTACTGTACATACGAGAAAGCAGAGTAACAGCGAACACAGGTGCAGGCGATGACTGATTCCACCAGCCGAGGTGAACAAGACAAAGCAACTGTAACACAAAGGGTGGGGTAGGCCAATGCTGCGCTGCGTGGATTCCCGAAATGTCCTCACATGGTGTAAGGCGGGGGGCAGAAAAGGGGTGCCACCTAAAAGGGAGAAATTGATAGGGTCGGTTGTGTAGGGTCGGTTGTGTGGGTGGGTCATCCAAAATCAATAAACCACACAAAAGCGAAGACTCTCGAACATGTCAGAACCTTCTTCGTTCTCGTTCACGACGGGTCGCCTCTTTTATATATATATATGTGTGTATAAATATATATATATATATATACATACATACATACATACAGACATATGAGGGCCTTTTTTTCACATTTTTTTGTCTGCCTTGACTCGTCTCAGGTTCTTACATGTGCAAATCAAGCACTTTTCTTGCCATTAGAGAGCAGAGCGAGGAGTACATCATCTACTACCGGCGTAAAGGCCGTGGCCTTATTCCGGTGAGGTGATCAGGTTATACGGTTTGAGGCAGGCTTTAGGGAGTTTAGGGGACCCCTTCAGATGTAGCCAGGGCTTCACAGCGGTGCCACGGTTGCACGGCTGTGCCAGCGCTGCACGAGACATCTGAGAGCTTCGCGGAGTTCGTTGTGCAATTCCCTCCAAGACCAGGTGTGCCGGCAAAGCATGAGTGAGTGGGAAGCTGCTAGACTCTGCTAGACTCTGCTAGACTTGCCAGAGCTGCCAAGGCAAGGGTTTTAACGCCTTGCCTCCGGAATCTCTGCATCTCTGCCCCATGTGACCCCCCAGCTGTGTACAGCCATCGGCGAGGTGGGGGCTCTGTTAGACCGTCGATAGACCTGCAGCTGGAGCGGTCCATCTGTGGAACTAGACGCGCGGATTGCTTAGTTTGGAAAGGATCGGAGATGAGAAGAGCCAAGAGTCATGAGAATGGAGCGAGGGATAAGGATGGGGCTTTGGATTCTATATTGCAAGTAGGGGGGTCGTGCGTAGTGCTTGTGTTATTCGTTTAGTTTAGTTTCTTTGTTTGTCTGAGAGTCTGATACACCCTCTCTTTCTTTCTCTTTCTGTGTCTACTTCTTTCTCTCTTCTGAACTTCTATTGCTGTGCAGTCTTCTTTTCCTGCACGAGAGACTGGGAAGTGGATAACATACCAAGAGCACACCTTCTACGAGAAGTCCTTTTGAGTCTTTTGTCGTTTGGCCCTCACTGCCCCGCCCCACCGCCATCCCCACCTGCTGCAAAAGAGCACAAAGGACACGCCTCTTACTCCCGGGTTACCCCCACCCAGGTTAGCGGATAGAAGGGTCGTGCTGAAGAGCGCTCTCTCTCTCTCTCTCTCTCTTGTGCTCTTTGCTCCACGCATGTCGATTCCTCTGCTGCCAGGAAGAACTTCCAGGTTCTCTACTGCAATGGGAAGAGCAGGAAGCCAAGGATGGGGCCTAGTGTCAGTCTCCGGGCATCGATGTGCACAAGGCTACGGGTCGTGCACGAACAAGACAAGCAGGGTCAGCGGGACAGAATCATGGTCGTTGATGTAGCTGCATTGCATCTCACGGGTCGGGATTCCCTTGCCCTGCCTGGTTGAACGGGCCGAGGTGCGGCCAACCTGACCGCGGGCGAGGTTGCTTTGCATATCCGGGTTGGTTAGGGTTGGTTCACATGACGCATGATGGTACTACCCAGCTCTTCATGCGGCAGCGGTGAAGATCAACCTTGCAAATGGTCCTGCGCTCACTAGGCTCAGAAAGGGGGGATTGAGTTGGAACAAGCTGCAACACTTCCGATGGCTGCAATCAAGGCATGAAGCAATTTGATTAAACGATTATAGTTACTATTGGTACGATCATAGTTACCATGGGTACTTAGCTTGTTGCGGCCTTAGAGAAACTGCATGGCCGACAGCACTGATTTGGCTCGCTTTTCTGTCAAAATGTTTGCCGTGTTCGGGCTTGAGTTCAGCTTGAGCCAGGTGTATGCAAGTGGAGTCCACCACTTCTGCCGGCACGATCGTTCATTTGAGGAGGCGAGCATTCCTGTTGGATAGAGTCTGTAAACGAAACAACTGACCACTGGCCTGGTCACATACTGAGCATGCCTGCGAGAGCGCGTTATTTATCAGGGCTGCGATCTTGGATGTTCCCGCATGTTCCCGTGTGTTCAAAGCAAGGCAGACCCAAAGTTTGGTTTGCACGACGAGGCCGGTTGGACATGCAGGGAAGCAGCTTGCAGAACTTGCAGAGATTTGCAGAGGTTTGCATAGCTTTGCCTTTCATGCATGGCTTTGCGCTTCTCGACGCCAGACTGCTGGTTGCTCCCATCCTGCTTGCTGCATTCAGGACTGGCCACTAGACAGGATCCAGTGTGTCTTTGCGCCTTTTTCGCCTTTGCGACTTAATGGAGGAGCGGAGCGCCTTTGTGCTACACTTCGACAGCCCCAGTTTCGTTGAGTGGCAGGGGCCCCGGCGTGACCAGCGCACCATTTTCCATGACGGTCGAGCGAAGCAGTTGCATGAAGTCATTTGAAATATCTGTGCGCTGGAACCCTTTGGAGTCGAGTTTAATCTGACAGATCCCAGGCGGGACAAGTTCGCCCTGCGCGCGCAGGCTTCAATGTCACAGTTGGACGAGGAGGACAGAAACAATCTGCTGCAAGAGCGAGGGAGTTTTTTCGTGTCTCCTACGATACAATCTGTGCGATGCAGGAGTTGCAGCAATTCCCCTTCAAGAGAGTGGCCCTGGCGTAAGCTTCATCTGGCACACTAGGACTGGCAGTTGTTTAGTCTGATGGCAAGGCTTCAGTCGAAGCGTTCACAAAGGTGAAGAAGGCTGAAGTTGCAGATTGCATCACTTGCTGACCGCAGAGTGTCCCAAGAGCAAGATCCCAATGATTTCGCCTAGATCTTCTACTCAGCTATCTTGCAAGACATTCCACTTGCTGGGCTAGATGGTAGTCATGTTTGCTTTAGACGTTCCTTGCGTTTGCTGTATTTTGCGTGTGCAGACCTGGCTCCAAGTGCAGGGTACTGCATGTGCTTTGCATGCAGCTGATCTCCGGAGGTGCCAAGGCAGAAGCAGATCTACCGCCACTGGCGATGTTTGCCTGGACGGAAGGAGTGCTTGATGGTTGATTCGTTTGGGGCGCTGTCTACAGTAGTTCACACAACAGACTGCACAGACATGCTTTGACTTTGACTCACGGCTTTTCTGAAGGAGGAGGAGTTTCATCCCAGGACCGGCTGCTTTGCACTGCCTTCTGCATCTTTGATGCTATACGGGGCATTTTTTGAAGTTGCTGGAAGCGTCCCTAAGAGGATTACTGGGAGCAGCCTGGAGGCTGCGTTCCAACGCCTTCTCTCCCAGGTGCCGAGCTGTTTCCAAGCTTCACTACTCGGTACTTCTCAATAGTCGCTACGAGCCGGGTGCCATCGAGTGCCTTTTTCACAAGGATGCGAAACGGCGCTTGTAGTTGTTGTTCCCGGATTTGGCAGATACGTTGATTTTCGTTAGCAAGGGAGTGCAGCTGGCCTTCCATCCATCTCCCCGTCGATGTCTGTTTGGAGTGATTTGTTTCGGCCAGGTACGCGTGGAGTTTGCCTGAAGCATCCCTGAGAGCTTCGGTAAAAATGCATGGCGCGGGAACTCCTTGGCAGAAGTGATATGAGATGTTGGCAAACAGTTGCCAGTTGCCAGCCAAGCTCGAGGGTCGCATCAAAAATGCAGGTCGACGTGATGGCTCATACAAAATGGCGACATCCGACATCAGATGTGTGGGTCAAGAGGCTTTGTTTGGCATGTGAGGAGGGGGATGGTTCAGATAGCTCCTCGGATATTCAATCTCTCTTTGGGCAGGCATGGACAGCCCCACCACGATACTACACTGTGGTAGAACATGTACAGCATGAGGGGCGGTCTTCGTCGTGAGCTAGCAGGAGCAGTGTGAAATGTTGTCGTGGAATCTGCTTTTCTTGACATCAACATAGCAGCGGCCTACCTGAAACTGAGACCTGACCCTGAGTTGCCAGCTGGTGCAGGCTTTCAGGCGTAACAGAGCGTAACAGCGCGCAAGCAGAGTTTGGACTTGCAACCAAGCCCATCCCAGCCCTGCCATGGACGACCGGCTCAGCGGCCGGCAGGCAACGGGCTTGCGGAACGCAACCCCAGAAGGGGCCTTGCTGAGCTTTTCCACGCTCAGGGGGCTCGACGGTGTTTCCATGGGGCGCAGACCCCAGCAAAGCTTCGAAGCTTCGAAGCTTGGAAGACAGTCCAAGACCATCACCTGTGGCAGACGTTGGCAGACGTGCTCTGCTCGGAAGGTGCGGCCTTTGCACTCCAAGAACTCATCGCTACAAGTCCTCTGCTGTCTCGCCCACGGCGCAAGCCATCGGAAAGAAGGCAAAGTAGGAATGCAAGTAGGTACGCCTTGGCCGAAGTGGATGCAAGTGAACGGCTGAATGGATACAGCACGATGACCGTATGATGAAGCACGGTGAAGCTGTTGAAGCATGTCGTTGAGAGCGCGGTGAAGCCGCAGGCCGCCTTGGCAGATGCGCCGCTGCAGGATCCCGAACGTCACAGTGATTTCTGCTTTGACCACTCATTTAAACGTGCTTCGTTGTTTTCAACTTTGTGCCTGTGGGCCTGTCCGGGTGTTGCTTGCCCGGAGTTCTGCAGTGTAATTGCACAGTAATTTCTTGGCACCCAACAGCACAAGTACTTTGCAAGTAGCCTCAGCTTAGTTCATTGCAACCGTTCCACGAAGCTTTTCGATGAACCTCATTTTACGGTCCATCTCGAAGGTTTACGGGTGGGGTTGAGGAAAGTTTCTTTGGCAAAAAGCTTGACGACAGCTCATGGACATGACGTAGGTGAAAAGAAGGGCGTGCGAGGCAAACTGCATGTCATGTGCCAGATGGCCCTGTTGGCGCGTGTCCCTCAGGAGACCCTACCCAGCTCCCGGTCGCGGCCAGAGTCCTGGCGCGCCCGCTGCGACGAGGTCCGGAAGAGGGTTTAAGCAATGCGCAAGTGATTTAATCAGTACTCAAAGCACGGCTCTCAAGAGCTCTTAACAAGCCTTGAACTTTGGCCATGTTGCGAGGCCAAGCCAGAAGCAGCGGCCAGGCGGGGGAGCTGGCAGGGTGCAAGAGTCCGGCAAGAGGATTGCAAGTGGCCCTGGTAGCCAACCTGGACCACGGATACCATCGGAAAACATATGGGATATCATCGGAACATATCGGAACCTCACATATATCTCTCATGACGTGGTGAGCGTGGTCCAACCATGGAGGTCCGAGGGCCCACGTGCAGCAGCCGAAGCGGCCGAAGCGGCCGAAGCCTTCGTGCCGGAGGCTCCGATCTTGCCCTGGCACGCTCTTTGCCTTCCGTGTTCTTGGAAAGCTGAGATGGGCATTTCAAGCTGCTTCTTCTCTGAAACCCGGGGGAGGAGACGGCGCTGCCAGGAGTGCTGCCAGGGGCTCGGCATCGTGTGTGGCGGTGGTTCCTGGTTGCCCGCACTGTATACACATGTATACACTGTAGGAGACATCGAGGCAACCTCAGGCTCCGGCAGAACTTGGCCCCGTTGCGGCGTCGAAGCCGTCGCTCGAGGCCAAGGCCCCGTTTTAAACTGTTTTAAAGGGACCACGAACGCGCCGTGCCATACCGGAGCCGGTGCGGCGGAAGAAAAGTAACAACAACGCGACACGAGAATACCATGAAGAGTGGAAACTCGCAACAAGAAAGCAGCACTTTTCTCGTTTCCGCGCTTTTTCGGGTTCCGCGCTTTTCGCGTTTTTGTCTTGTGTTTTTACGTTGGTCGCGCTTTCCGCTGTCAGCAGTTTCAATAGCATGACGACATCCCTTTCAAGAGAGTATGCAGCAGGCTCTTAATGCTAGATAGACCTTATGCTCGGTCGCTCAGGGCTATTCATGGGAGCAAGCTGTCTCTGGTGCATGGGGAGTGGTTTCGGTTTAACGGCTGCCAATGTTTAAGGTCCTGCAGCTTCTCCTTTTGGGGAATGTCTCTTCTCGCAAATTTTCGAGCGCATGTCAGGTGAGCACCAAAGGTAAATCCTGATCTCTGCGCTCATATTCTGGCATGTCGCAGAGGCAAAGATGTCAGGCGTTCGTATTGAGTTTGTCGCATCTTTCGCTTTTCGAGTTGTGTTCGTGTTTGCTTTCTGGGCCTTTTTGGTAGGCACATTTTCGAATTTTTTCCCGAGTTGCATGAGTTTTACATTTTTCTTTCGAATTTGCCACGGCGTCACCGTTAGCCAAGACCCATTGGCATTAGGAGCCTTGCAACACCTCTGCCTTGTAAGGATGTGCTTCTTGGGGTGTGGTGGGTACAGGGCGTCGCCAAGCCACAGTTGCATGCGCAGGAAGGCCCTCCTTCTCTCGAGGGCCACTCATCCCATTCAAAGCTCCGGCACGAGGCACAAGATTGCGGAAGTTCACGGCCGAAAAAGTGCGTTCGTTCACCTTGCTTGTCCGAGAGTGCACGTGTCATCGGCGCAATCCAGTATCTTGCAGCAAAGCCCTGCTTCCAAATCCAGGCAAGATATTGTCAGTGTACAAGAGACATGTCAAGACGATCTCCCGAATTGTTGCGCTTGCCCGGGAGGCAAGTAAGCCTCGGACGCCGGAGACGCTGGAGGACCAACCAATGCTCACCGCAGCCTTACAGATACCAAGTCAAAGAGAGTTTCGTGAGACGTGAGGGCTAGGACAAGTTGAGAGGAAGTGCAAGCCATGCAAGCCTTCAGAATTTGTTTCTTCGCCTCAGCGGGAATGCGGTTTGAGGAGGCCCACAAGGGGTCCTTCCAGCAGGAGGCCAGTGAAAGCAGACTGCAGACCAAGCCATCCTGTTAGCGAACACGGAACATTCTTGGGACTCACGCACCGGAAGAGATGAGGAGACATGCATGGTCTTAAGATGTCTTAAGCCTCTTAAGCCTTTCTGAAGCCTCACCAAGCCTGCAGGTGGGTCCATTGCATGACAATGTCGATGAATGGGAGATGGAGGACGCATCCATGGACACACCCGTGGCGATCCATGTGCATCGCACAAACGCGTTGAGTGCAGAGTACCAGCAAGGGGTCATGTCATCCCCGACCCAGACCGAGGAACAGTTTGGAGCTCCTCTATTGCCAAGAACATGCATTCCCCCATTGGTCCGTTTGCACCTGCCAGGCAACACTTCCAGCGCTTGCTGTTCAGCTTCGGCATGGGGAGGCATCTCGAGTCGGTGTGTGTGTCGGACATCAGAGGGCATCAGCATGCATCAGCAGTCGCCTCCTCCCACGTGCGCATCTGCTGCTGAGACGCCGGGCCGCAGCAGCCTGGCGAAGAAAAAGACAGCAGCGGCGAAAGCCTCAGAAGCTTTAAAGTGTCCCATGCATTGCTGAAATGTCGTGAGCATGGTGCGGAAGCCGACCTTGAGGGGCTTCAGATGAACTTCAGAACTTCGGGGCTGCGACGGCTTTAAAGAATTTTGCTTACGAAGTGCATGATTTGACAAGTTGGAAGCGAGGGCAGATGCTTCGGATCAGCCGAGACTTGCTGACCTTTTCCATGCACACAGGCTGCCATGATGTTTTGCAGCCAAGACCATTCCGCCACTTCTGTTCGCCGCCCCAAGTGGCTGACCCAGGCACCAGAGACTAGTTGGCAGTTGGAGGAGGCGGAGACGGAAACCCCGGGAGAGGTCGTGTTTGGATAGCCTACCTTGTAATCTTCCGAAGCCACCGTTTACCCAACGGGCAACAATCGATGATGCTGTGCAATGCTGTGCTCTCGCTTTGTTCCCTAGATTTCGTGCGTCGATGGGCCCGAAGGGGCCGAGGGGGGAGCATTGCTTGGGCCAGGCTGAGGTCTGCGTGCCGGTTCCGCCGGTGTCCCCTGCGGCTCAGGCGCGTGGAGCGCAATTTACAGTCCAGAGGGCCCTACTACGATCTTCCGATGGACTCCCGGGCCCAATTCACTTGCATCAGCTTAGGCAACATTTGGCAAGATTAGCCATGACCAGAGTCCCCGGTCTCTGAGCCTTGGCACCGGAGGCATCCCCTTCGGGGCAGATGTCAGCTGCGAGCGAGGCTGCAACTTTTCCTGCACGACATGCAGTGTGTGGTAAGATGTGGCAAGTCAAGGTTTGCAAACGGCAGCTTCGTCTCGTCCGCGTGAAGGGAACTCTGCTAGTTCCAGGAGCTGCTCCATCTGCCACTGTCTCATGAAGCTGGCTCCTCAAAGGCCGACCGAAAGCTTGTTGAATCCAGGCGGCGCAAGTTCATAGCAGAGAGGAGATGTCTTTGCAGTTGGTTCTGACATAAGAGTAGGCGTCAGCAATTTGAGCACACCAAGAGCAATATGTATACTTACATGCTACGGAGTCAATTTCGAGTTGGGAAATTGGGGCTGATTTGGCGTTGATGTCCAGACAATCGAAGACACAGTCAGAATACGGGACTTACAGGAACTTGCATACACCTCAGCCCTATCTTGTACCGAGTTTTGGAGTTGGGGTGCTTTTCATGTTTGGGCATCATTGGGCCCAAACCCGGCATGCAACACTCGATAACCTTCGACATTTTGTCAAGTGCGCGCTACGACTTGGCATTTCAATTTCGCTTTCTGCTTTCGGAACATGTCCACATTGTTTTCGGCACGGTTTGCTTGGCTCGCTGCCCACGGATTGCACGCAGTGCCAGGCGGGAGATGACAACTCGCCTTTGTCAGAGCCAATAGTGCAGGCTGTCTCGAAGGCAATGTGCATGCTTTCCGTGACACCTGCGCTAATCTCGGTACCTGTATTGATGTGAGTTAAATGTATGTATCGTGGCTTTGCTATCCAACACGGCCCGGCCTTGCCATGTGAGCCCTTTGCGCTTCTGTCTGACGGGCACCTTCGTACTTGCGCCGCTGGAGTTTTGCTGCACGAATCTTGCCGCAGGATGCGTGACTGATGCGTGCCAACAGCCTCTGAGACAGTGAGCCTGTTTTCGCATTTCTTCGCATCTGCAGGCCGAACCATTCCCATCGGATGTGGAGGTGTCAACAAGCACCCAGCGCCCGGCTCAAGATGAGGGTCCTGGTGTGAGCTTCGAGAAGGGCTGCAAGAGTGCTGCAAGAGTACTGCAAGACACTCCGCACATCTCCGCACCTTTGCCTGAGCCGTCGCCTGTTCTACCAGTAAGATGCTCTGAGTCTGAGGTTAATGCTTTTGACGTGGGCCCGATGGGGCCGCAATGCATGGCGCATCAAGCAGGAGGATCAGATCAAGCAGATGCAGCACAGGCCTGAAATGTCAAGCCGGCTAAAGCCTTGCGAAGCCCCCATGCCAAGTGCGAGAATCAATTCCTGCATGACTTGGGGGGATCCATGAATGCATCCCTTCCTGCTGTTTTCATTGTGGATTCATCACGGCTTGCGTTAGGCGCTTTCCTCGCACGCCGGCACCACCGCGAGAGCCGCTGTCCCCGCAGCCAACGCCCCGCGAGCGCCTGACGGAGACCCCAGGCCCGGCTCAGCGAGACATTTTGCATGAGGCGGTGCCATGACACGGTGCCAGCTTGTGAGGCTCGACTCCTTCCGGATCTCCTGCCTCGCGACCACGGACTGGTGCAGCTGCCTGGAGAGCCGGCGGCGAGCTAGGCGCAGCGGCGCAGCCCAATTTGCGGTTTGCATATGCTGATCATCGGGATCTCTGAGGGCGTGGGTAGTGGACGCCGTGGAATAGCCTCTTTGCGATCGAAAAAAAGATTATGAAAAGATGCGATGGCGCAGGCTACGTTGGCCCTGGGAAAGGATGAGACAGGGAGGTTGACAGGGCAAATGCCACGATTCCTGGGTGGGGAACGGTGGGCCTGATTCGGGGGGCCGGGGGGATACGCCAGCGCAGGGGGTTTGAGAATGGTTGAGGGCTGTGCCGCAAGTTGATCTACCGCGATTGTACAGAGATGCACAGAGCATCTCCATGGTGCAGGCATGGGCACCACCGTCCACAGCCGTGAAGGGCGCAGCGAAGGCCGTGACGAACGCAACGACCGCTTTGCCTTCGCGGAGCTGCGAGAGGCGCCAGCCATCGAACATATCGAACTCTGCCCAAGAATTTGCAACCATGTGCATGTTGGGCCTGGGGTTCGAGAAACTCCAGGCATCATATACACATGTCACATATACACAGCCTTCGGTTTCTCGTCACGTGCCAGGAGCAGCGGGATTCCATGGCCCAGCAAGGTGCGAGGCCACCCGGGCCAACCTTCTGCTGTCTTCCGTGGCCGTCACATTCTACATAACCACGATTATCCAGACATAGCCCGACACGGTCTGCACAAGAACGAATTGGAAATTGTGGTCTGCAGACGTGCGCGCCGGTGCACGGCAACTTGTCGGGAGGACCAAGTTGGTCCGTGCTTTGGGTGGCAATGCTGCCACCGCGCACAGTACTGGCACCCCTGGCTTTGGTGTTGCGTCTTGGAAGCAAGGAGCTTGTTCTAAACAGCGAATGCAGTCGAAGTAATTCTGTGTATATGGCAGCAGGCCTCGGAGAATCTCGCAAGAACACTCGGAGAAACTAGGACACCCCGGGCTTCCCGGCCAGCGGCGCAGCTTCAGCCGACGCATCGGTGGCCAGCAGCGGCGTGGCGAGTCCCGTCAAGGCCTTTTGAACAGCTCCAGGACTTCAATTAGACGGGTGTTCTGTTGCATCTGAGTAGCGCCCACGAGTCTAAGTGAATTTATCTTTGTAGCCTTCCAGGCCAATAGTGTTTAAATGTCTTCGGGCGCTTTGAGCTGGGTACTGCTAGGCCGGCTCACCTTGCTATTCCAGAGCAAAGCGTGTAGCGCTAATGGACCAGTGGCAAACCCGCATAATCCACACGGAACCCCCTAACGTAGCTGTGCACAGATGCAGGCTCGTAGAAAGTATCCAACGTGTAAGACGAAACATGCAAAGTGTGTGGTGTGCATGTCTCGTGCATTTTCGTGCGTTGAAGGGTGGCCAGATGTCGCCGTGGATCCTGGAGGCCGAGGCTCTCTGTGAGGTGCGCCGACGTCGAGCGACTTCCCAAGTTGAACTCTGGTGAAGCTCAGATCTTGGGCTCGGCCTCTGAGACCCTGCAATTGCCTCTATTAAATTATATGCCCAGGCCCGACAGGTTACGGAGCCTTCGATTGCACGATTGCACGAGATTGGGAATTGACAGTAAAACCCCACGAAGCCACAGAAGCCCGGGCAGAAGGCTGTTTTTTTGCCCACCTTAGAAACACAATGAACAATCTCTGCGTGGCATTCTGCACAGACTGTATGCCGCGGTCGCAGTCGTGCAGGAGTCTGAGGAAGATGCCTCGCCCGGAGGAGGCATTCTGCGGGGCTGTTTTTGGCGAGGCTGTGTGTGGAGTTCGGCTTTTTGTCAGGTTGGAGCCTCGATCCAGGGTGTCTGCCTCAGACTCACGCTTCCTCGGACGGATTCGATTTCGCACAAGTGAAATCAAGTGAGAAGCTACAGAAAGAGATGGAGAAGGAGATTCCTTTTTTCAGTATATCGCAGCACCCTCATAGGTAGGGAGTGGTCGTATTTCAGCTGTTTCCTTCCTGGCTCGAGAGATGGGGTCAGAGTCGGTCAGAGTCTCGACGGGCATGTGGCAAGGCCAGACAACTTGCTTGTCATAGAAGAAGAGCTCCACGGGCAACAGAAAAAAGTCGAGCCGGCGGCGCAGGCCCCCAGCAAGCTCCTGTGTTCCCCTTGCATTTCGTGGCTGTGTTCGTTCGTAGAGGCCTGGGAGGCACTAGTGTAGGTACTGTCAGCAGAACGGAGGCTGTGATCACGCGCGGGTTCTCTGGCTTTTGTATGAGTTCGCGTCGTGTGAAGATTCTGGAGCATTGTTGACGAACGGACTCTCATTGAGCTCTTCTTATCCTCACACGTGTAGCCTGACAAGATGCTCATGCAACAATAATGTCGCGAGCGTGTGAACCTGCCACTTTGGCCGTTTGGCTTCAAGTTTTTTCCAGCTTACCATACAAGTATGGGAATGGTCTTAGAATCAGAACGTGCGTGCGGTGAGGTTGTGGGGTGACGTCTGTTGTCAGTTAGTTGACTTCTCAGGCCAATGAAGACCAGGAGGTCTTGGACGAGGATGAGCTCGAGCGGGTGGAGATGTCCACGACCTACTTCCTCTGCACCAGTCGCAAACGAAACCAGTGAACCCGAACCGTCCATAACCGTCCCCAACCCATTCCCCAAAATCAAGGTTTGAGGAAAGCCCCAGCAAGAAGTCGACGCAGGCTCAGGCATGAGCCGTGAGCCTTGAGTTGCAATGTCTGTAGCAAAAGAGGCCGTGCATGCGAATCGGTTTTGGGGCTTCCAAAGGCATGGTCATGCAACAGCAGCATGGGTGCAGGTTCCGAGCTCACCTCTTGATACTTCGAGAAAAGAGGCAGAAGAGAAGATGAGCAAGGCCAGCGGGACTGGAGATGGGGCGTGGCATCACAAACGAACCGAGACAGCATGAAGCGGATATCTGGAGCCTTTGAGAGTTCGTTCCCCTCCTGCAGAGTCTCGTCAGCTCCTTTCAATCAGTCCAAGTCTCCTCCAGGACGATTCTGCCCATCAGCCCTTCGAGTCGCCTCGTTGCATTTATGAAGCGAAGCGGCTCCGGAATGCACGTGGAGTCTTGCCGATCACCGCTTCAAGTTCCTTCGGGTGGCTTTTGCGTGATGTCGTTCACACGAATGCTTCCTCTTTCAGTACTGCCCAGTAGGCAGGGTTGTCCTATGACACGAAGGTATATTGTCGGCGAGAAAGTCTCGTACTACTCCAGCTCTCACGGTGCCTGGATGCCAGCACGCATCGTGGAGCGGAAGAGCAGGCGCCTGTTATCGCCAGAGCCGGTGCTGTAGTGGTACTCGAGGGGCTTTGAGTTTTGGGTCTTCGGTCAGGTCCTTGATCTGCCTAAGTCTCAAGAGATCAGCAGAAGATGGTTCTGTCATGCCATACTAAGTATATAGTCCCTTGTCTAGAAGCAGAAGAGTCGGGTGAGTGTTCTCTTGTACAGTACATGCCTCAAAGGCAGCAGCATGGCGATCGTGCTGTGCGAAACAAAGTTGCAGAATACAACGAGCAGAAACATCCACAAGGATAGCTGTCTTCGTATGCTCACAGGACTATCTACGTCATCGACAAGCAGATGCGCGGCTGCTTGGCCAAGGCTGTCCGGTCTTCTTGCTGGCATGCGGTCATGCAGTCAAAAGCGCATGTTTCCTAAAGTGCTCTAGCTGCCTTTTCATGTGCCAGCCAAGAAAGACCAACTGCCCAGCTCGCATCCTGACGTCGGGAACCTCTTGATGCCTCATCGATACTTCGTTGTTACTGATGGAACAAGGGGCCGGCTTGACAGCTGATCCACGAATCTAGATTCCTAGTTGTACCTTCGTTTCTCTGCCACGAGATACGTGACAGGTTCGCGCTTCCGACCTGGTCTGCGAGAGGGAGGAGGAGAAGAACCCGGCTGGGCGCTTATCAGAGCCTTGCGTAAGCTGACGGCCTAAAGGCTACGCAAACTTTGTAGTTTTCAAAAGGAATTAGCTCAGCTGACGACGAGGAGCAGTTGGTTTTAGAATCTTCCTTCCATGTACTTTCATGTCAAGTTATACTAGATTTTTCAAACAACTTCAGGTGTCGGGCTGTCTGCAGGTTCAGGACTTCACGACTTGGGGTCTCATAGCATGACGGTGTAGGAACAGCCAGGCCTTAGGGAGTGGGGAGGGGCCGCCTTGGCTTTTGACAAACCACAAAAACTTCGACGAAGCTCGACAGACCAATTGTCCGATTTTGGGAAGTCCAAACAAATGACAGACCACACCGCGAACCCCCACGAACCCAAAAGGAAACTTTGCAAACTTCTTCACGCACAACCACCACGAAAAACTTAACATTTGGAAAAACGTCGGGTTTGTGGCAAAATGACATGAAAACCATAGTAGACTATAAATGGACTCGATGTTGGGTACACCTTTGTACACCGGGCCTCCGAGAAGGCGTGTTGTGCAAGTTGGTTAGGGGAAGGGCGAGCATGGGTAGTTGGGGAATGTTGGGGACTGGTAAGACCGCCGTAGGGACCCCGAAGAAACTGTCACGGACCGACGGACTCAACCCCCTTCGGAAGTTCCTTGCAAGCCACCGAGCCGCGCAGGGATGTGTAGGGGTTCAGAAGAGCTCACTCAACTTTCGGCGGTTCGCCGAACTTGGCAGGGGGGGTGGCACGACGAAGTCTGCACTCTGGGTTCGGACGAGAATTTGCCCTCGCCTCCGGTTCGCGGAGGCTGGGCCAACTGCACTAAACTGAGCCCCTGTTTGCCGACCACACCTCGGAAGCCCATCTCTTGCTCCTTCCGCCTCGCCGTCACCTCTGCGCCTCCAGCTTCACGCCCGCCCCAAGTCTGCTTCTATCACGTGAGTTCGTTTTGCATTTAGACATGCGCATGATATCATGGTCCCGAAATCGGGGTTTGGACCTTCCTTTGACTTTGTTTTGCCGCATCACATACTTAGACTGAAATCCCGTGGAATCCTTTGTTTGTCGAACACAATGCTACAGATTTGTGAAGGTTTCGCTATCAGGCGGTCACATGGATTTAGGCCGCCTAGACCAGTGCCATCAACGCAGCTGCGGCTTGCTGCCCAAGTGCCCGTCATTCCTCCATTATTCCTCCAGGAAGGCTACAGGCAGGCCTCTTTTGCAAGCCGACATCTCGAACTACAAACGAGTAGTTACCGTGTTTTTACTTGTTAGCATTTCTTAGCTTCATCAGAACCGGGGGGGGGGACAATGGGGGCTTGACACCGTGCTTGACGATGGGAGCATTGGCGTTGGGATTGCAGCTCGCAGTCGAGGTGGGACATGGTCAATGAGTCAGTTAATGGTTGAGTGAGGTACTTCGGGCTTTCAGCGTCCTGGAAGTCGGCGCCCCATCTGCCAACTCGACGAGGCATGGCATCTGTCTGGCTTGCCTAAATCTGAATGTTGCCGCATATGAACCGTGTAAGCGGTTGGTTGATGATCGATGGACCCCGCGGTCAGTGGATATGCTGCGTCCCACCGGCAGGACAAGTGGCTCGAGTCCGAAAAGTCGTGCCTGCCTTGGAAGGCTTGGCGCAAGTAGTGATGCAGCAAGCGCACGTCAGAATTTCGAGAGACGAATTCTCGCAAGGTTCGAGTTCGAGGGTTTTGAAGAGTCATTCATGGTGCGGTGGTGTGGGTTGTTTTGGGGTCGCCCCAATCCTACAATGCAGTCGTCATGTTTTTTGGTCCGGTGCCAAGGTCTCGCATATCTATTGTTGTTTGCTGGATACCTGACTTGAGAGTCTGCCGCTTGTATGTGGAAGAGAATTGGAGGGCACCGCCCTGCGCTGCCATGCACTGAGGTTCGGCAAGCCATTCTCCGGCGGCACCTTCACGGGTTCCCGGCAATCGAGGCAAGATTCCAAGACCATCCACAGACCTTCAAGTGACCTTATCAGCACCCTTACGAGCAGCTGGTGGCCAGATTGACGGAGTTCTGTTGTGCAGGGCGCGTTGTGCGTGATGACTTCAGTGACGATTCTGATGATGGCTGAGCTGGCAAAATTCTGTGGGACAGGGCCTGGTACCAAATTTGCCATCGAAGCAAACACAAACCTTGTACAGATGCCGTTCAGGCGGCCCCTAAAGCGATGGCGCTAGGTTGTGTAAGGCTATGTTAGGATTCTGTGGTTCAAAGAGCTTAGTCACCGCCTTGCTGACAGACGGTGAAATGCTCCAGCGCCTCTGAAACCTACTAGGTGTAGCGTAGTGCAAGTCGAAGTTGCCAAAGTGCTACTGTACCTAGGGACATTTAGGTACAAAGGTATCACAATGGTATGTGTTCAGGGAAGGAGTATGGACTGCGGTTGGTGGTTTCTCGCCAGGTGGATGGTGCGGTTCACTCATCTCATTGGCGTCTGTAGTAGCAGCCCATTCTTCCAAATGAAGTCAGAAGGCAGCTGCTAGGACAGACGGAAATGTTGTGTCGAAGTAGCAGGTAGTAAGAGGTGTGACTACACCCCGCACCTGTCCCATGGATGTCAGCAGGTGCCATAGCTTTAGTATATGCATCTCCGCAGTTAATGCCTTTGGAAGGCCAGCGTAGCTGACTCTTTCCATGCGATCAAAGTTGACCCCTCGGCAGGAGGCTGATGAGTCTGATGAGACGAGCATGCCAGAAACATGCCAGGATCACCTTTGAGAATTCAGGATGCAACATTCGCAAAGATTGACGACATGTCTCGAGCCTTGCATCGGAGCCACGTGAGTTGGCTAGAAGAATTGGCAGGTTCGCCATTAGCCTAAAACATCATGACTCATGTTGCATAGTTGCTGGCAGTTCGCAGATCCTTTAAGGATGACTGGAGCCGCCTACCGCGCCTACACAAGAAAAGTTGCGGCCATGCTTGCTACAGCTTGCGACATCTATGAGTTTAGTCGTCGCGGAGCCCACAGCTTTGTTGCGGTTGTCGAAACTAAGCGGTTGGAGCAAACGGGTGACTTATGCCGCAGACACTTTTTTTCGATTGGGTTCATTGCTGTGCTTGCCATGATTTGCCATGTTTGTGCCGAGGGGTCAATTACCGTCGTGCGTTTTGCACACTTTTGACTGCGGTTGGTTGGGGGTTTGGGGGGGTGGTGGAGGGGTGGGGGGGGGTTTGGTTGCGCCTTGGCTGTCGCAGCTTCCAGCCATTCCTAACTGGCCACTCGAACACTTCGACCGCCGTGCCGCCTGTTAACCCCATTCCTTCTGTTCCTTAACCTGGAGCCTTAGCCACTTTGGGCTTGGGGGGTGGGGGGTGGGTGGGGGGTGGGGGGGGTGGGGGGTGGGGGGGGGTCATAATAGCGTCGGTTCTTCTTGAGTGTCCACGTGTAACTGCGACGCATGCATGCACAACAGTTGTCAAGTCCAGGTATTTTCTCCCTTAAGGTGAAAGTGGCTACGCCAGATCTTATCAATTTATCAATGGAGATGGGAGATTTGCTTTCCAGCACGTTACTTGGCCAGCTTGTGACCAGACGGACGTGCGCCAAACAAGCTTTCCAGTGCCATTCTTAACTCCTGAATTCTTGCCGTGGCTTCCTCTGGCCTGGCAGAAGACTAAGACACTCGTCAATCCTATACTCAGACCCCTGAACCCTAAACCACCAGCACAAATCCCTTAGCTCTTCACCCAAGTCCCTGAAGCCTGCTGCCCCCCCCACCCCCCCGTTTCCTGGTGCTTCGCATACAGC